CGATAAACCCGATTTGCTGGGGAAAGTAGAGTAGAGTCAATCCCTTGGGCGGTTCCACTGAGGTAAAAGCAGAAGCCCCTCTTGATGAGACGGCGAGATTCACACCTGGAGCTTTCATCAACACCGAGACACTTCACGGAGCGAGTACCACGAGTCAGAGTGGTAAAAAATTACCATACTGTTCGCCTCCATGTGCCCAGACACTGGTGATTCATGGTTCGGCAAAAGATGATGATGCCGAGTTGAGTTGTGCGTGAAAACCCCATGTCTCCGATGAGGCTGACACTTGCACTGGCAAAAGGCTGGGCAAGGCTGGTTGCCATCGTCGACGAGGCTGAATAACAAAAATGGAAAGTCCACCGATACCAAGGCTCTCTGTTGATGGGAGGCCGTCATACCTTGACCAATCGGGGCTGTGAATTGAATTCCCAATGACTCAGCATACCACTTCAATTCTCTCGTCGATGGATACCTCGAGTACTTCCGCCTGCATCACGGTGCACTCGCGCGAGAATCCCATGTGAATGTCGGGAGCTGGTCGAGCGTGTCTTCTTTTACCTTGTACCTGAATTACATCTATCCCAGACCCGTTTTGGTCGTAGAATTGGAGGGTGTTTGACACTTGCACAGACACAGACGCAACAACCACTTTTTGGCCACCCGGACACATGTTCCTCGAGAGGAACTATTCCACAGTAACTCTGTGAGTTGTGTGCAGCTGCTACCCAAAAGCCGAGGTTGGCATGAAGGGAGATGGCCATGAGCATGTGCAAAAAGAGGGCACCTAATTTGGCGTGAGGGAAATATGTGTGTTGCTCTCAGCGAGTTGAAGCAGTGGCCTGGCCCCTCCAGGTGCAAGAACACTCAGTATGGGGGCTGACCGCAGCGGAGCATCACCTAGCCAGTTCGCCCTGGGCCTTACCTACAAGTTCGGTGCCTGGAGCCCGAATAAGGGGGCCCCGACGAGCGCCTGGGGGGGGGGGGGCGTCATCCCAGGGGAGGCCAATTCTCTGGGGCGCTGTCTGTGGAGATGGTGAGCTTCGATAATACGATAATAATAGGCGACCGGGGATCAAGCTACGAAATCCCATGCTCCGTGCGTCCCCGACACGCTACAGAAGATTTTACAATCCCTCCCTACACAACCACACCCCAACTCAAGGCATTTCCTATACGATCGGCCGGAGGTGGGTGTTGCGGGACTCGAAAGCACCTACAACCGTGATTGATTTGTTGATCTGCTCAAGAACCCTCCCGACCGGGAGCATGTGGCCAGCATCCAACGCAGTCACCCGCAAGACAGCCTCATTACCAGCGTCGAGATGGCCCCCGTCCCGAATGCCCATTGTCACGAATCACCCAAATGTTGCCCGTGAACGTAGCACATCTTCTTCGCCCATTCAAGGGCTCTCGCAAGCGAACTGTCAATTGCCCACCCACAAAAGCAGCTGCTCTCCAGACAAGAGGTCTAGCTACTGACATGATGATCACAAAGGTTGTTCCCGATCCAGGAGACCAATCGCCTCTCATCAGCACATCGTTTAAGCTCCAAAACAGCTTTTTCAGCCCTCGAACCTCCAAAATCAAACCCCGGTGTAGATCAGGAATTCTCGGTGGAGACCGTTAGTTTGTGCAGTAGCGCCTATTGTCCGGACTACAGTTTGGTGATGGGACTCTGGGGGCCAGTGCTGGCTTGGGCAGTTCGGCACATGTGAATTATGTTTCAACCTCGACCGTCAACTCGTCGACACGGTTCGAGTTGACAGGGAGATGGCACCTCGGGCATCCTTTCATCGAAGCTGTTAACGAGCAGGCCATGAGGAATGTCGCTGCACAGCTGGCGTTTCCACCAAGTTGGGCAGGGGCTCGAGGTTGATCGCTTTGGTTCCCCTGGTGGGTGGTCAAATCTGAGCCCAACCTAGACAGGGCCCCTCTTCTGTTTCGCCCCAGAAAAGTCTGGAGGATGTCATGGTTGGCGGAGGGAGGAATTGTCGAGTCAAACTGGTTTCCAGAGTCAGCAGAGGGGGGGCGGGGGGGGGGAGCAAACGCCATCCGGTTCTGCGACCCAGAAGGAGCAACAGATAACTCCTTCGTAACGAGATCGACATCTTCCTTTCTCTCTTCAGGCAAGACTGCAGCAATGTTGAGAGAGAAGCAATACGAGGCAGCAAAGAAAGATCGTGGAGCCAGAGAGTTCGATGCTTAGGCTGGCTGCGCTTGCGCCCGAATCCACAGGGAGATGCGGATCCTAAGATGCCAGAAGGCCACCAAGCTTTTTACGTACAGCACCCGCCAACTCTCCAGTCACATCGTCCCGGGCATTTGTTCGACTCTGGTCAGTCTTCGCAGCCCGTGTCTGTGGAGTGCTCCGTCTGTTCCGGTATTGTGAGCTTTGCACACTCAACTTTTAGCACAGAATGAGCGGATCACTGGGACCAGTGTGTGGCAAGGCAAAGGGGTCCTTGCATTGAGAGCAAACACGGTTCACCTGTCAGAAGCCGTTCCAGATTGACGCCCTGCATCTCGGTCTCAGCCCTCGCAACTGCCGATCAGTGGCCAAAGTTCGATCCAGTCCAAAGCGTGCGGGGTTTCCAAGTTCGACCAAGATCGGGTCCATGCCATTTGCGGCCTCTTGTGCTCCCTCGCCTTTCGCTTAGAGGAGCCCCTTTGCGCCGTTTTTGCGGGGTGCTGAACAACCCCTTGCTTCCTGATCATCCTCAACTGGGCTCTGGGAGTTGAGCTGCGTCTGTCCTGAATCGGCTGCCCCATGCACGATATCGGGCTGAGAACGTCCAAGAGCCATTGGAGAGGTGGTTGGTGATGTGATTTCTTGCGTGCATTAGCGCGAGTCCATTGATACGAGTTTTGCATGCTGCAAAGCCGTGCACCTGCCCTGGCCCCATCTTTCGCTCTCTCGCCCTCGCGCTCTCCGCCTCCCACTGAGGCCAAATTGTTCCAGCAGACAGGCCCTTTTTTGGCAGATGTTGAGCTTGGGCCGTTGGAATAGCCTCGTGCGTTGCTTTGGGTTAAGAATATCCCCGAAAAGCACGCGGTCATGAGGGAAAGGCTTGGGGTCAAAGCTTCACCAGGCCAAATGGAACGCTGACCGAGTTACAACACGCGCGGATCACAGGGGCTGCAATTCGGAAATCTCCAGAGAGGGACTGCCAGAAGTGTGCCGGGAATGGTCTTGGAAATTCGGCTGTGGGCCTCACGAACTGGTCGCCTGCCCTGCCCAATACCTCATGTCGCATCATTAGCGGCATCTGGGGTGAAAAGGGGGGCGGGGCGCCAACATACACGACCTTTTGACTCCCATTCGACGCCGCTCTCCAGATGGCCAATCCTTGGGGTCTAACATGCCTTTGGTCGGCTGGTTTCGAGGAACTGTCTCATGTCGATATGATAGGATACGAACAGAAAAGGCGGGGCAGGTGTTTGGTCCCAGCTCGTTTGTGCCGACATGATTTTGTCCCCTCCACCCGGCATTGAACGCAGCATGCTCTCTCTTCATATCCCAGAAGATGGGAGGATATTCCGACGCTGAAGTGCAGAGACCCCATAGAGAGAGGGAACCCACCGTCTTCCGCCAAGCAAAAGGGTATATAAAGGCAGATCGATACCTCCCCTTTAGACCTTTCCTTGTCACCTCACCAGCTCAATCAAGACTTCTTTGACCTTCTTCACTGGTCCAAGTCAAATCTCGCACCCTCCTTGCACAGTTTTGCCTCCCTAGCAAAGTCTTGGGGCAACGTGGTTGTTGTCTCACACCCTTGTTTCAGCACCAAGCACGTCACTTCTCGTTGGTAGCCCGCGGCCACCATGGCTTCCAGAATCCGCCTCGAGTCCCTCCTCAACCCCGATCACGCCTGCGAGAACTCCGGTGACGGCGCCGGCCCCGCCTACTCCAAGGCCGGACACACGGTCGCCATGCTTCTGAACACAGAGCCATCTGACCAGCGAAGCGGGGCCAGGCACACAGTTGCCATGCTCCTGGACGCAGCGCTGTCTGACCACCCAGGCGAGGCCATGCAGCCAGACGCAGAGACGTCTGACCAGCCCAGCGAGGCCGGACGATCACAGAGCCCTGTTGTTGGAGGTGGTGGCGGCGGCGGCAGCAGCAGCAGCCCCGGCCCGAGTCCGATCATGAGCATCTCTTCCATCGTCACCCCGAAAGAGCCGGAGGAGGCGGAGGCGGAAGAGGAGGAGGAGAAGAAAGAGGAGGAAGAGGAGAAGTTCGACGACGAAGGAGTGCCAGCTGGGAAGGCATGCCGCCCGTACACGGAGGAACACGGGTACTTCGTCTGGTACCACCGCGTGGACCTCCGGGAGGACTGGCGACACGTGGGCACCAAGTTCCGGGCGCGGTTCGGCGCCGGCCGCACGGTCATGTCCCTGCAGAACCTGTACTACACCTTCTCGCGCAAGAAGGGCGTCGAGTGCCGCCGCATCGGGGCCGGGCTGCACGTCCCGGGCGTCGTCGGCCGCACGGACAAGCGGTACTCCTGGATGCGGCCCGAGCATCGCCGGCGGCCTCGCCGGCTCTGATGATGGCCGGCGTGCGCTCCCTCCGTTCACGGGGCGCGGGCAACTTGGGGGTCCGCGGGGTGGTCGTCTTCTGTGTTCGGTGGTGGGCCCCTGCTCCCTCGGTCTCTTGTGCTCTTTGCTCCCTGCTCGAAGGCGGCGTGTCAGTCTGGGAGGTATTGTGGATTTTTCTCTCTTTTTGGTCGTCCCTCTAGCTCAACCCGGTCTCAGAACTGGGGTGGTTGTTGGATCGGGGACTCGGTGGTTCAATCTCACGACTGAATGTAATACAAGTGCATTTTTCAATATGCCAGTCTGTTTCGCGGAAACCTCGTGGCTCTCGTTGTAAAACTCCCGCTCTGGCAACTCCCGCTCTGGGCTCCTGCTTTAGTCGAGGATTTATGTCCACGTACGATTGCTGGAGGGGAGACAACGCTGACTGAGGCGCAGGTGATGACACAGAATGTATTGAGTCCTATGAACATAGCCACGAGCCCAGTGTTCAGACCTTTTGCAAGGCGCCTAAGGGCATGGAGAACATATTCCTCCCTCCTCCGGGAGACTACAAGTACAGGGTTGCCACATATCAGATCCCCACCAACTCATGAACTTTGTCCACCCTCTTGGTCAACGATCACTGCCCTCTAGTGGATGGAAACGCGTCCAGCGATGCTCAAGCACTGAAATTAGCCATCCATGTAGTCTGAATCCCCCTGTTCCTGTCGCAGGTCTTCCCTTTCCTCCTCTTCCTCGAATTGTCTCAACCGCTCGTCGGAGACTTCCTCCGGAGAGGGATGTCGAGGGTGTTTTGGCGGTTCAAGGTCCAGCTCCATTTCGTCAGAGGAGTCAAGCGCGACAGTTTTTTCGTAATTTTGCGCCTTGTTGAAATATTCGCAGAGCTTTGCCGCCGAGATCCTGATTTGCGTGACGTGCTCAGGTAGGTCGTTTATCTGTTCAGCTATCGACCTCGTCGGTGCCAGGTACGCAAGGGAGAGACAGAGACCTGATGATTGTGTGTTTGGAAGACCATTGTTGTCGCGAAAAACCTGGATTTTGGGTTAGCCTATAACGACAAACACCCATCAAACGAACCTCTTCTTTCACTAGGTCCTCCACGGCCAGCTTCATCCTACCATCACCCGAGGGAGTGAACTTTGCTCGCCATACTGATACCGTGGCCTGTTTTCCCGTTGGATATGGAAGTTTAAAGCCGACAACACATCGAATCTTCCCCCGAGAACCCCTGATAAGTTCTTCGGCAAGTATGGGAAGGTCTGTCGCCCGCTGAGAGTGCGCGACCTCGATAATGATACCAGGGGCACGAGCAGAGAGATGGGCCAGAGAAGCGTCGGGGTGCTTATTGATCGTCTTGGATTCTGCAACTTGTTTGGCATTCTGTTCGGCATCCTGTTCGGCGTCCTTCCTGGCATCCTTTCTGACATCCCTTCTGGGATTCCTTCTGACATCCTTTCCGGCATCCTGGTCGGCATCCTGTTCAGTATTCTTTTGGACATCCTGTTCAGTATTCTTTTTGGCGTCCTGTTCGGCGGTGTTGTCTAAGGATATCTTGGTTGGTGCAGTGGCGGAAAGTATAATCTCCTTGACGAATTCTTGAACAAATGGATGTTGAGAAGCACGTAGCTGGTCAAGTATATCAAGCGTAATCATCGGGCCGAATACCGCATGTAGAGTTGTTTCGCAACCCATTGCGAATTCTTGTTCATAGAAGGAATAGAATGTCCTAGAAAACTAAGGTTAATTTCATGTGACTGTAGGGACTGGATTCCAAATCTCACTCTAAGGCATTGAAAGATCTGCTGTCCGAGAAGAATTTCTCGAGTCGACGGTAGGCAGACACGCTCAATTTGAAGCGTACCCAGGAGTATGGCTCGACAAAACATGAGGGTATGGATGCTCGGACGCGGCGCACTGCAGATTCAAATTCTTGATTGTGCTCGGTGAGGGAGGAGGGCGCAGCCACGCCAGCAGAAGTGGCTTTGGGGAGGTGCGACTGTTCAACGTGTGTAGGTGTGCTCTGCGGCGGCAAGTGGTCCCCAATTTGTCGCAGCACAAAGGGTTCATCCTGGTGGTTGTATGTTGGTGACGAAGACATAGCATGCGGACAAACCATCTTGACTGCGGGCATCTTTTCATTCACAAGACTTAGGGTTCAGGCCAAACACCAAGTCGCGTCAGTGACGGCAAGGCGACGGGAACCAAGTCTATATATAAAAAGCGGTTGGTTTATTACGTCGGACCATTAATCCATTCAGGGAGTTCCTCCGGTGGAGCACAAAGGACCGTTACGTTTGCCGTCACGTGTTACACTGTTGCCTTGCTCTTGGTGTCTCTCGCACCGACAGAGTCTGTGAAAGGGGATACCAACAAGCAGCACCTTCGAGAGTACCGCAAGGGGACTGCACAGGTCGTTTCTAGCTTCTCGCTTATCGACTGAATCGAATCCTCCTTTAGCGGGCGCCGAAGATCGGGATGGAGTCACCAGCCGTCGGCCCCAGAAGCCGCACACGCAGCCTACCGCCACTCTCTCCGCTAGAGTAGCCGCGCGAAGATAGCAGCTCGCACCAGCGGCTTCGAGAGTCTGCCTGTCCACATCGCTTGGTCCTGTCGTGGACTCCGACATTCTTTGTCCCGATCAAGTCCCTTAGTCCCAATCACCCGTAACAACAACGACGACCACGACAGCAAACCCAATTCGCATCGCCCTGCGCAAACAACTGCACCACTCTTGGCTCAGGCCGGTCTCGTCTCAAGGAAAACGTTCGTACAAATGATCATGTCGGCTTCAATTCCCGCAACAGACATTGTCAAGTTGGTGGACCCGCACACTTGTTTCTTTGAGCATTGTGTGCTGGCGGTGGTTGGATGCGATGGAGATGGAGATGCCGCGCCACCGATCTCGGATGGCAGATCCAGTCTGTCTGGGTCCGCTTCATATCTCAGGGGACAGAGTAGCTCTGCACCATAAAAGCGAACCATCACCTGAACTAATCATCTCCGTACCGCTTCGCCGCAACCCTCTCGCCGGAGCGTATTTGGCAATACGTTCAGGGGAGACCGTCCGTACTTCCCTTTCTCCTTGTCGCAGAGGGTAGCGGCGGTTTACCGCAGAGCTGCCGACGAGACGCCGTCGAAAGGTCAGGAGGAGACGGCCTTGAGATGTGCAACACGTCGAGAAACAAGTGCTGCAAGGCCGAAGCTGAGCAGAAAGCTGGTGTTCAGCGGCGACAAACCAACTTGTCTTCGCACCCTTTCAGCAACGTGGCCTCCCGCTTTACTCGAGTATTATTTGACCTAGCTCGAGTTCGGCTCAACCTCAGCTTGAGCTGCTCAGCCTTCTCATCACTTATACTTAGACCTATCTCTGGGCCCCTACAGAGTCCTGTGACTAGATAATCATACTATGCTTTGTAGGCGACCCTCTTCGAGGATGTAGAAACTTACATGATGATCTACAAGGGTACAATCTTAGGACCTAAAGTGCGAAAATGGTACTCCTTACAAAGACAGTCGATGGAATCTGTTGAGCCAGCTGTCCCCGAGCGAGTATAGATTGTTCTATCTGATCAAGGCTTTTCCTGATTTATACATGATTCGCGCCGTAATGCCAAAGCCTCTCCAGAATAGATCCTACCGTTTATAGATCTGATAGGGCTTAATCTCGAAGGGCTTCAGTCGGTTAGTCGGCAGCGATATCGGGCCGTCTGTCAACAAGTACAATGACCATCAGAACGCGGCCTTGCAGAATCTCTCCAAGCGTCGAAAGCCACGGTACGTGATGCAGCACAAGGCGAGGAAGCACGGCTCTAAGGCAACGTTGTCTCGAACCCTCCTGTGCGAATGTATAGATCTTGTCTTGTCAAATGCTGGAAAGATGATGATGTAGGAAACGTGGTGCTTCTGCTCCCGTCCTCCGTACTCTGTCCACCAGCTGCCTCCCTAACGTACGCAATGATTAAGCCACTCCTATCAGGTACTCACTGTACTCACCGACCTCATTCACTTTAGGATTCTTGAAATTACACGCTTAAACCCCTCTCGTAACCATCGAGGAAATGTTTTCTCATTATCTCTGCAGCGGATATGAAAGGGTGGACCTCATTCAACCTCCATCAAACGGATCACACGACGGAAGTTCGAGAGAGATGATCATTGAAAAAAGACGCTCGAACTCTGAAACAAGCTTGAATCAAAGCCATAAATCCATCAAGCGAATGCCTCCGCCCAATTCAATCAATGACTGCATCAACACCAACACCGAGCAGCTCAAGATGATATTCACGCCGAACAGCACAGACTTGTATGATCTAATGTGGCAAAAAGGCATCCGTCCTTATTGCGCATTCACGGAGAGAGATTTCTCAGAAATAGCCTTTATTGCAAGACTCGTCAGTTGGACGTAACGGAGCATGGATTCGTGGTCAGCTTCTGGGGGCGACTTGACTGGATCATAAGGGACCCGAGGCTGAAGGCGCGGTCCGTAGGCCATGTAGTTGTGGCTGGAGTCGAAGAGTTCCGGGTACTTTTCGAAGAAGGATGGGATCATCTTGAACTCCAACATCCTTTCACCCACTTTGATGAGCTTCTTGAATGCGCGTAGGGCAAAGGTTCTCGATTCGAAGAGAACCTCGACACTGGCGGCGGGAAGGTCACAGGTCCGGTCTTCGTCACAAGGCGTGTCCTGGAGAGGGTCAACCCAGGGAACTTCCTTATCGTCGGCAGACAGCGCCTGCACGGCGGTGGCGTCCAACTGGCCGTCCTCGTCGACCACTCGTTTCGGCGGCTTCGGCGGTGCCATTGCCGTCACCAGATCCCAGACTCTCAGATGTCCAATGACAGGCGCGATCCCCGCAACGAACTCGGAAAGGTCCACTTGCACACAGAACCCGCAGCCGACGTCGACGACGACTTGATCGAGCCACGGGTTCGTGGAATGGTACAGGATCAGTCTGTCGCGCATTGACGGCCACGGCATCCAATCGATGATACATGGGTAGGAGACGGACATTTGAAGCCTGGTGGGACGGTAGTTTTCCACTATCCGAAAGTAGTTTTCCGCGGTCGGGTTAATGCGATAGTTTAAGATCGGAGCCACGGCGCGATATGCTTGCGTAAAGGTGAAGAACGCAATGCCGTGCTCCCAGGCCATGTTTACGAACATGGAGAACATAAAGTTCACTGTTTTGGTCAAACTACGCATCGATCAGCAACCTCCTTCATGCCACGAACAAGAGACGAAAAGTCTGTCAGCGTTACCTGAGGACTTGGAGTCTTCCGATGACTTCTGGTTTCGCTAGTTCATTCTTGAAGGAATACTCCACCGCGGATAGATGATCGGAAAAAGGGGAGTTCGTCCGGCAGAGGGAGCCGACAGATCCTTGTAGTAAAACGGGTCCTGAGTCCATGATTTGGGCATAGGCCTCGAAACCCATACAGTCCAGTTGACACAGCTGGGGCTGGGACCATGGCGAAGGAAGTTGGGGGCTTGGTTTGGCCAAAGCTAGATGATTTTGCTGAGCGGTCGGAGCTTGGGCAGATTCCATGATCGGCGCAGGATGGTCTGGTGCGTGTCTTGAGGAAGCCTTGCACGCAGTTTGAGGTTGGTCTCTGTTCGTTTTAGGCTATATCCCGTCATTTCCAAGCTTCTTCAGTGAAGATGAGTGGAATTACCGATGCGGGCCACAAGAAATCGGCGGTGTCCTGTGACAAGTTGTGCATCTTCAGAGACAGGCTCTGGATTTTCTGTTGGCACTGCAATAACTTATTTCTGAGCTCCTGGTTCTCAGCTTTTAGGTCAAACAGCTCCTGAGGGTCGGTTGCAGAAGTGCTGTCGAGCATTCTCTCAAGTTGCTTGATCCGATGACTTTGTCTCGCTCGATAAGCCCTTTGCGACAGCCTATTTCGCAGTGTCTTGGTATCGCCTCCCCGGATCCCATCCATGTTGAGGACACAGTGATTTAGATCTATTTTGCGTCAAGATGTGGGGATAATTTGGAGGAAGAAAGAAAGAGAGAGAGAGAGAGAGGTCGTGGGCGGGGAGGGGATAAATAGACGCCTATCCTTAAGCTATGAAGACGACGAAATGACCCTGGGATTGGTTAGAGTTGACCGCCCAGTGGCTGACTTGAATCCCCGCAACCCCAAGCTTTGTGCTCGTCTGGGGGGCCGATGCCAGTAGCGGATGACCGAGTGACAACCCTATTCAAGTAGATCCTCGATGTGCTGTCTTGAATAGAAAGTTAACCGCAATCCTTCTGCGCCTAACATCTACAGCAATCCCAGGATTGTTCAATCCTACAATTTCACTAAACCCGAGATGATAGATGGATGCTCCGCCCGACATTGATACAGCGGAGATTTTGCCATTGACTTGGACGTCAAATGTGGCTACCTTTCCCGAGACTACGCCTGAATACAATGTCACGAGGAGGGCTCACAACGGTGCTGAATCTGAACCATTCAAGCTGTATGGCCTATTCACGGGTATAATCTGAGAGTGGCCAAGGGCTGCTCGACTCGTATCGCGAAAAGGCTCCCCTTTGTGGCCTAAATTCCAACAACTCTCCCAATGATGAGGCTATCTACAAAATGCTGACTTGAGATGAGTTCCATAATTCAACATTATTAGGATGCTCGTCGCAAAATGTCTGCCCCCAGATTCTTCCCTCCAGTGCCCCGTGAACACTCTTTTCCTCCTTCGCGTCTATTCGACTTTCTCTGTCGGGCTTCCGATTTCCATAGCAAATCAGTCGAATCACAGATCCTTTTTGTTCGAGATGGACGGGCATGCGAAGGCTCCCGGAGCCATATTTCAGCGGCTTTTGCGGAGCGTGGGTTTGTCGTGCGATGGCCCGTACAGCGCATGGTAGCCAAGCACTGCGAACGCGCCCATTGCCAAAACGCCGAAAAGGTAGGCCGGGCCCAGTGCGAGAATGCTGAAAATATTGGACGGGCCCAGTCGACTGGTCCCAAAAGCTAGTCCGCGGTTCGGCGAGATGTTCCCAAAGAAATAGAACCCGACATTGGACCAACCATCCATCATGACGATCCACCCCAGTTTCTCTGCGAGGCCATCTGGAAGTTCGAGGTGTGGAATGGCGAGGCCAGTGCCCATGACCATGAGAGCGTTTGCGACCGGGCCTGTGTGGCATCTGACCCAGCCA